AAAAATAAAGCAGTGTTACCTGAAGGCAAGATTGTTATATAAAAGGTTCAACTTAAAACACTAGTTCTGAAACTGAGCTCACAAAAACTTCTCAAATCAGAAAGATTAAGATGACACTCAGCTAAGGTCTACAACTGAATATCCTTCACCTGTTACCTATTTGGAAATGTTAAAGTGCAAAATGGTGTTGAGGTTTACTGGAAATAGTGCTTTCAAAGGCGTATCATTCAATCTGCACAAAAAGACAGGGAAACCTGACATTTAAACGTCTTACTACATATAGCAAGGAAACATACCATTCTACCCTCAGTAGATGTAGTTACTGTAAAGTACAGAAGGTAACAGCAAAACATTACAGTTTAAACTAGCTTATGTAAGGGATTACCTTTTGAAATTAACTAACTGAAGAAAATTGCATTTTAAAAGGCAATATTTTATTTTACATATTAACTATTCACACTACTGTACATAATAATTAAGGGAAATGGCTTAAAGTAAAGTTACATATTCTGTGGAAACAAAGGTCTTGCAAAAGCAATGTGGGATACTGTATATTTTTCTTTATAGGTTCTTTATAGGGAAGAACTACAGTTCAGAGCTGGACTCCAGATTAAAGCACTGTTACTAAGAACAATACCTGTAACTTAATTGGCACTTTTCGGAAGCCAGGCTGTACAAACATTGTCCATAGTCTGTAGAAGCCAACAAGCAACCCCCCTAATACCATACTCAAGTGATGACTGTCCTGAGGCCGGTGCAAAAACTTTGTGTTTTGATCCTGAAGAATGACATCTATGGAGTCTTCCATATTGCACTGCTGCACTCCTGCTTCAGCTCCGTATGATTCTACAAACAAAAAAAAAGAATCCTGAACTTTTCACACACATTTTCCAAGTGAAAGAATGTTTTTTCTTAATAACCTTTCAGTGCATGTACAGTAGCTCTCACAGTTCTAATGTCTTTAAAAAGGTTTATGTTAAAAATACTGAAAAGTACAATTTACTGTTTAAGAACAGCAGATTCCAGGAGTGTTTTTGTGTAGAGGTCTAAATGATGAAACAAATCCAGTTAATGCATTTGCACAGAAGGTTACAAAAGTAGTTATAACAAAAAGAAAATATACCCACAACTATTCTACAATATATCCTAATTTTATGATAAGAGTGTCCCATAGGTTTTTAGTGAAATCCCATTACTTTTAAAATACTATATATAAGAGAGTATACAGTATACAGTATATAGTATATAAGGGAATACTTTTTACAAAAGTGTTTGATCTAACTGTAGTATAGAAACTCTTGGTTAAAACAGCCCTACCTCCACTGTGGTCAGTAGCTGTGAAAGGGCAGTGTGCTGTGATCAAAAACCACCTTTTAAAGCATTAACGTCTTACATTCACACATTGATTATATCTCAGCTCGTTCAGGGTTTTTTCTTGCTGATAGCCAACAAGTGCTCAAAAGACACATGAACGTTAAACAGTTATAAAACTTATTTGACAACTGTCGCTACCATTTATAGAAACGAAAGTCACAACATGTCACATGGCAAGAAACCCTTTCAGAGAAATGAGAAATTTTCGTACTAATAAAGTCCCTTAGATCTGCTAGAGCCAAATAGTTTTTTAGGTCTTTAAGCAGTAGATTATGTTATCAACATTTACTCTTTTGCTCCATTTTTTACTGGGTGCACACTACATTACTGGGATCATATTTCGTTTTGCTGCGCACAATTTGTCTTTTATTGCAGTTTATTTACTGGGCAAACTATTGCAACATTTTTCTTTCTAAATGACCACAGCAAAACCCCTTGTGTCTATTTAAAGCAAGACCACAGGGAACCCAAAACTTCATCATGTTGTAAAATGTTATCCATTAGAAAACCATCGTGATGCAACAACTATTGCTCGGCTTTAAGAAGTCTAAGAGAAGATTCTGGAGCTAAGTATTTTGATAGTCAACATCGGAAGCCACAGCTGAAGCAGAATGATGAACAAAACAACACTGACAACACACAGTAGGTTTCCTCTACACATTTGGATTCCTCGATCCACTCAGGTATGGTGTTCTAATCTCTAATGATCCCCAGATACTAAGGTGCCATCTACATCGGAAGGTACAGTATGTAGTGTATGTATTATATGGCATGTAATGTATTAATGCATTTCACAGGAGACTAGTGGATACTGGGTATGGGACTTAAAGGGGAACTGCAACGCTATTTTTATATTCTGGGGTTAGAAAGGGTCAGCACTGATGAGTGCATTTCAAACCACAATAAAAGTTAAATGTACATAGTAACTTGTAAAACCTTCAATGAACAAAACAGACTAAATTTCCAGGTACAGACAGGGATATGTTCTGAGATTCAGAACAAGGCAACAAAACATCTGGTGAAGTGAAGTGGCCCTATCACATTGTACACAAACAGGCTTGTGAATATGTCACTTTTAAGACAACAAAAAATATCACTCTTGACACTGAGACGGTTTTGCTGACAAATACAAATTACTTGTTAACTCTGCCTGTGGATCACAGTCGAATATTTCTGCAGTGATGTACGTATTCGTTTGCACATCACATTATATTTGTCATTACGGAGACTAGTGAGAAGGGCCACACCACAACTAAATCCATGGCAATTTACACTACTTTCATAAAGTTCATAATCTTATGCTTAATTTGAAATTTGTAATTTTTTCTATAATGTCGATTAATTGATTTTGTAAGAGAGATTTAATAACCGTTCTTGGGATTGCAGTTCCCCTTGAAGTACAGACCACTCCTCTCAATACATAATTGAATAGTCCCATTCACCCACTTTCCAACCTTTTCTTCCAATTCAGGGTCACAGGAGAGCCAGAGCCTATCCCAGCGAGCAATGGGTCCAAGGCGGTGTACACCTTGGAGGGGATGCCAGTCCATCACAGGGTAGACAGACACAAACACAGACACACGCTCTGTCACACTAGGGCAAGTTTTACTAAAAAACAATTAACAAAACCAATATGTTTTTAGACTGTGGAAGGAAAGCTGGAGCAATAGTCTTAATATGATTATAATATTTCATAGTGATTAAGGGACTATACAATGTAAACAATTTCTTTATACAGAATGTAAAATATCTGATTTATTTATACAAGATGATGACCATGTGTTTTGCACCAAGGACAGTTTTTCCGGAAGCCTAACTGGACATTTGGGCAGTGCCATCAATTTCTACCTCCTCTCAGGCTTATCATTACTGTTACAAAAAAGTGTTTCTTTTCAAAACAATGAAAACACACTACCAGCAGGGTCACAGGAAGACCTAATGATAGAAATGCAAAAATAAACACTTAAACTTACACTTTGATATACTCTTAAAAAGACTTCAGTCTTATATGCATCCTAAAAATGGTGCCATTAATGTGAAAAGGGGGTTTCTGTGGGTTTGTTTGCATTTTGATGTCATCCTCATCCAGACTTCATTTACTTCCATTATTTCTTGTCAGTTACAAAAAAACCGTAATCAATTTGAACTTGAGGTAAACCCGTGAAGTTCCTTTGAAACCTTTATCAAATGCGAGTTGCAGTACCTGACAGATACAGCAGGTGCCGCGCTAATCACATTGTCACTCGGTAAACAGTGTTTTCTAGAAATCCTGCTTCCTTTCCAAACCCTGAAAAATCAAAACTCTGAAACAAAAACATCAAAGTAAAAATAAATAAACCAGTAAAGAACTAAATGTATATCTGAAAGCACGAAATAATGCCTCAAACAAATTAAACAGCTATTTCATTTTCACTTTCTGGCTTTATTTTCCGATTGGAGATTCTGTACGAATTGTAGACGGGAAATGCTGGCCACATTTGTAAAGAGATGATTTATATAACATATTAACAGCGCGATTGCAATGAAAGAGTTTATTTTTTTACTGCATACTTACTCACCTCGGGCATATACAGTAGCTCACTGAAGCCCTTTTTCCATGTAAAAGCAGTACAAAGAAAAAGACTGACATCGCATTGCCCAATGACAACAAAGAATTTTATTCTTCCACCTCACATGAACTTGCTCAGAGCCAATCCGGTTTGTGATAAACTGCTTGTCGTAACGTCCTCCCTCGTACGCTATACTCAAATAGGAAAGTGAGTACAGTAGATGGTCTCGGACTAAATCGGAGATATTTGGAATCGCAGGCTACCTACTATATCTCCATTTTCTAATTTGTGTTGAACTTTTACAACGTAGAAAGGAAAATATGTCTCTTCCGTCTTTCTCCAATAGTAAAACTATGCAACAAGTTAAATATCATAACTGTATATAACTTTATCCCAGCTCTCTTCGGGAATGGCTGACCAGTAAAAGTGAACATTTTAGTTTAAGATGTGAAAAACAATCTGTGAGATCAGCCTTTGTAAATAATTAATTTCACGTAATATTCACACATTAGGTCACAGGTGACATTACGATATAATGGAAAATACTGAATAAACTTTGTATATAACGTATTATATTACCAATCGCGAGCAATTTTGATCGTGTTTTGCATTTATGCTAGAACATACTGTAGCATCCACATGGGGCGCTTTAACGGCTGCTCCGTCCACTTAAGCCATACGCAAACAAGGCGGACTGGGAACAGCGCCTGAGGGGCGGGACTTGGGGGGGAGTACCCGGACTGTACATAGGGGGGCGGGGACTGTGAGGTGGGCTGGTCCCTTCCGTGTCTGTGTTAGTGTACTGTAGGTGCAGCGCTGTGACCACCTGCCCCTGGGTGTGTACTTTTCCCCGGCTCTGGTTCAGAAATGTGTTGTTCAACCTCCTTTCTTGAGTTCTACGCCTGCTCCATTCTGTACCAAACCCCGTGGTCGTTACAATACATTGCTCAGAAAATTAAAAATCTGTCAAAAAAGATCACCTCACTATTCTGTGAATACAACGTTTGCCAGTCGTGTTATTTTATCAGAGCACAAAAACATGCCTATGTGGTTATTCTAATTAGCGAATGTACAACTTACCACCTCCCGAAACTAGATAAGTTGTACCACAAAAGAAAAATAAAGCACCAAAAAGGATTACCTCTACCAACTCAACACCAAGACAGAAAATCCATTCTTAAATGCTTCTCTAAACTATCTCTAACAGAGACAAAAATTCAAGTTAGAAGCAAAAGCCTAAAAAGGTTTCTGTTTTAAATGTGCTGCAATAAGGACCCCATTAAGATGTTTAAAATACCTGGATACATCAATACAGAAACCAGTTTGTATTTAAACTGGGATTTGTGAGGCAGGGACACAAGTGGAAATCAAGAGGAAGAACATTTTGGACTGAAATCATCTGTGAAAGCATCTTTCACATCCATGGTTATATACTGTATGTTGGGAGCAGAATGCCCAGCAATTTTGGTAAAGATCATTACTTGGAATTCTTCAGCATTTGTCTTGGCAAGATCCTTGGGACAATGAGCTACAAGCAAATGAACATGATGGACCCAGCAGCTTCTCATTTGTAATTTCTCATGTATTAATTAAATACTGTACCAAAGGCACCATTTAGTGTTGTGAAGCGCCTGAAGTAGAAAAGGATTTGTGGAGCCATTGCCTGAATTGTCTTCTGTCTCATTTCCACTGGCTGGAGGTTGGTGATCCACTAAGCCATACGAAGAACTGTTTCTACTCCTGAAGGCACCATGGTTTGTTTCCAATTAATTTCTGTACTCGCCTGACCTGAAAATGAAGAAACTACACTATCAACTTATCAGGGAGGATTGTGCTTGAATAGTAAACCCACAGAGAAATGGAGATACAGAGTTCGAACAAAAATATTTTTGTACGTGTACTACCTTTTTAGTTTTTATTCATACAAGCAAGCACACAAACCAAAATCTAAAAGAATTACATATACAGTATATGACTTTCCAGAGGAGAATGAAATTTCCATTGTGTTCTTCACAAGCAGAGATGATTCACATTCAGTTTGTTTTGTTTTTGGCTGGGGACATTGTCTCTAGAAAATGTTGTTTACAGCTTTGTGTAGCTACTGATTTGTTTTGGAATATCTGAGTCTAGCAATTTGTGATTCAACTGAAATTAAATTTAAAAACAGATGGAGTCTTAAAGTAAATTTAATTAAAAGAACTTGTGTCCTTATTTTAAAATGCAAGCATTTAATATTTTAAAATATTACTGAGTGTAATTGAGGACAACATATTATGTGCTGATTTTACAACATTATGTTCCAGAGACAGTAATAAAAATGTAATGTGTCATTGGGCTCTGTTCTCTAAACTTTATCAACAAATTTGATACATTATACAGTATGTATGACATTGTCTGATGTTAATTAACTTGTGTCAAATTAAATAACCATGATCTAAAATCAATAGTATCTGTAAAGTACACCAGATGTGTTGTGACTTATTGGATTATAACGTTCCTATGAAACTTATTGTATTCCTCAATCAACATACTGTATAAGGTCTAACTATCATTTGACCACAGTCAGGTGTATAATTGTTTTGACATAATTATATATAGTTTGGCGTATTCATTTAATATATACCCACACAGTATGCAGCAGGTGTATAACATTATCGAGGATCTTTGTAATAACAAAAACCAATAAAGATATGGATAGGCTGTTTTCATTATTATTTATCAATATTACGTTGTTATAGAATGCTGATGGCTTCAGCTGTTTTTTTATTTGATCAAATTAATTGAATAAATCTGTTATCAAAGGCAATTAGATAAATAAAAAAACAACCTTTATGTGTTGTTAGCACAACCAAATTGGATTTTAAATGGTTATTTTTGTTACATACAGTTTATGATACAGCTTCTTAAACTGTATATGCTTTTATTAATAATTATGAAATTATTCTCCTGGTCATGTCCATAACATTGTTCAGCTGTTCATTCACCAGGGTTTGAGAAACATTTACATTATTAAATGTTTGCTGCATGCAGAAATTAAGCACCAATATTTATTAATAGTAATTTCTCACAATGTCATACTTACAGTGTAGCCATACACCAAATTGTTAACATTAAAGTGTCATCTTTCCTCAGCATAACTTCCAGGTTTGGCCACAGTTTAGAAAAAAAAACTGAAGAGCACAGCTTTTTAATTGCTTGGCACAACTAGGGTTGAGCCAGCCAGCCCCTCAGCAGCAGAAGAAATGGAGGCATTAAGAAGCAGGCAGCCAACAGAAAGCTCTGAGAACTCTCAGTTTCCACTGACACATTGGAGAGTGGGGGATGAGAAAGGGCATGTGACCATCAATTCTCTTTAACTGCACTTTGCCACTCCTGCTGAGTAGCTGAAGGACCTTGATTGCCCCATACACCATATACCTGTAGTCCATGTACCTGTAAGAGGGCTCTGACCTTAAGAACTGCACTGAAAATCAGTGCTCTGCCATCACAGATGTAGTATACAAGACACAATTAATTAAGACCCTTCTGCAACCTTCCCCTCTTCCTGCTGGGTGAACTCACACAGCTTGTTTGTCACAGTTCCTCTACTGCCCACTCGACCTCCATTCTGCGGGCAAGGCACCCCTTTCCTGAGCCGTGTATTGTGGGCAGTCCTGTGGAAAACAATGCTGAAGCAGAAACCAGTTTTCATGTCTGGTGCCTGCCTGGAGTTTTCCATTGAGTGTGAACCATTCTGCTCTTCTGGCACCTTGCTCCCAGAAGACCACTTGATCATGTTTGCAGCTTCTAGAGGAGGAAACCTCTGATCCATTCATTGGTTTTCTTGTACAAAGACATGTGGGAGGCAGACCAATGTGATGTGGCTGATATAATTGCCATGCTGTTCATTTGTGTTCCTTTCTCCTGCTCAGAGGAATCTGAGTGGATGTTTTGTAGAGGACAGGGATAGAGATGCCTCCATCATGGTCGGTAGACCCAGGCCTAGTACGCTTCATCAAGAATGCCTTCCAGGTGGAAGACCTCTTAACTCAAGTTCCTCTAGTCACACCCGGGGGTGAGGTGTGCACAAGAATGGATCACCATCTGTAAACAGACTACCAAGTTCTTGTCAGACCTGGGCAGAATTCCAGGGAAGATACTGGAGACAGTGATACCTGACCAACATTGCCAGTGTACTGGGTCTTCTCTGGTGTTCTTTGTTCAATCAGTCTAGGCTCCACGGCCGAAACGTTGTGTTCTCTTTCTTCTTTCTTCTTTTTTTTCAGCATGGAATAAACCTATTACTTGTTCCTATATAACAAAATAATGTCTTTCTGATGATGAAATATGACATATAGATGCATAAAAGTATGTACAACTGATATGGAACACATTTTAATTGTTTTATAGGACCTATAAAACAGCCCAAGGAATAGTGTGACTACTCTGATGCAATGTGTGTCTATAGTAAAAAATTCAAGATGCTTGAAGTTCAGGCTGGTATAGATGAAAGTTCGAAGGCATGATACCTCTCTACCTCATTATTAAAGCACTCCCGGTCTATCTGCAGCTAATATGGCATATTGCTTGACCCACGGCAGCTCTACATTTACTGGCTTGACATCTTGTAGAATGTGCAACTGTGCAAAATCCACTGATACCATGTGCCTCGGATGGTGCCTAGTGTTTATTGGGAACGGAAACGAAGGTGTGGAATCAAAAGCGGTTGAAAAACTGAGTGGAGGTGTTTTTTTTTCACTTTTGAAAGAGACACCACATAATAATTATGGTGAGTCATTGCTATATGCTTAGAAGTGTACAAGTAAACCCACAGACAAGAAAGGAATGTGTAATGCTAATATTATATTCAGTTATCATAGTAGCTTATATATAATAAAAAGAACAAATATATTTTTTCTAAATAACACAAAATGAAAGAACAGATTTTAACTAAGCTGTATTGGTGAAGACAAATTACCCTTTCATTCATGGTAACTTATTCATGCTGATATTATTACATCATAGGAAACACGCATACTGTAATTAATTATATAAACTCATCATTACACCAGGAAGAAAAAGTGTTATGAGTTGTCCTAAAATTATGAAAATAAATAAGATTGTCAAGAAAAAAAGAAAAACATACTATCTGTATTTGAAAACATGTTCTTACATGATGTTGTTATTTTAGCTTTTTATTTCTCTTTAAATTCTAAAACTAAAAAAATCAAATAAAGGTGTTAATAGACAAAGACAAATATTTGCTTTTAACTTTCTCATATTTTTCTTTGTGGCTGAAAATAATTTTGAAATTGTTCTGAAAATAAGTATTGCAATACTTTGAAGACTTACTGTATCATATACATATAAAATATTTATGCACATCTCTTAAGCATGCATTAGATAATATTTAATTGAAATCTGAGACACAAACATTTATCCATGGCCATATGCGCTGTATACAATGGAAGAAAAATATTTTCAGTTTAAATGAATACCTAAGCTTGAGAATTTAATTAAATGTGTGAC